GTGGAGTAGCCCACTTGGGTTATATGGTGGATTTATTTTCTTCCCACAACCGATGTGGGACTTGTTTGCCCCAACAATCCCTCCCTTAAACAAGGCTCACGAGGTAAATTACCACTCACCGAGATAATCCATCGTAGCATGCACCCACTACGTTACCATGGATCCACCATCTCATAAGAATTTTCCACCACTTCGATTTATCTAGCCACACAACCTGGGTTCTGATACCACTGTTAGGAAATTATTGGGCCTAACTCCACCTAATAAAACCGTCTTATTAAAGGAGGAATGTCCCCACCTTATAAAGTGAATCATTTATATTTTTCCAAATAATGTGGGATTCTAATAATAATTACTCTTACAATCATGCATTCCTATGCAATAAAATTAGTCTAAAATTTAGACGTTTCATAGTGCACAAATTCACATTTCTTGTATATTTGTTTCACTTTAGTATTGTGTTGTGGCTTTCTTTCATTTGTCCATCCCAATATCCTTTTTTCACTATGACTTGCCTTTCTGATTCTATATTGGTTTTAGGAGATCATTACTTGAAACAATGGGTTACTTCTGCAATGGCTTGTGGGATACGCTATCTACTTGAGAAGCTGGGAAGTATGCCCATAAACTGATGAAGAAGAAGCATCAGCAGGGAACTTTTAATCGGGATTCTTCTCTCTTGACAAGATACGTGCCAAGTGCCCTCCTTCATAAAGCACGTAAAAGAGGAAGTGAGGACAATATTTCGGTCATTGTTGTCGATCTGACATCACAAATCCATGAAAACTGCCAATAAATTGGTAAAACATCTTTTCCCTTTTGTAGATTCTTTTCACCAACACCTGTGGGCTTTTGATTTTTGGAATTTATGGAAATTTCTGGGTGTTATAAGCAACTTTAGGCAACAACAGGAGGCTGTTTGGTCTGTTTTTTCCTGGACACAAAGTTAATTGTCAGATTCGTGAATTATCTATGGGACACGGGGATTCAGGATTTTAGGATCCTTAAGTTCGCTAAAGTATTAAATTGGATTTCTAGTAACTAGAAGAGATAGAATAAGAAATGTGCATCTTTGAGAATTGGTTTAGTAGCAAACTAATTAAGAAGTTAATATTGTTTGGACGCATTCTAAGACCAGTAAGTGCACTAGTTAGGAAAAGTGATGGGATTTGTATTGCCTGGAATGAGGTAACTGAAAAGGATTTTGAGCTTTGTAGTTCAACCAATTGATGGGATGGTCAGTGTATTTGACAAGTCTTATTAAAATTGTTTTTGCAAGAGTTGCCTCTCTTGACATGATGTTAGTGAGAAGACCCATCTTATGATATTTTTTATTCCTAATTGAAAGATTTCTTAAAATCCTATTTACGCTGAACAGCCCCGCATCGAGTTGTCGCTACAGCTTGTCACCTATATGACACCATGACTAAAATTTCTGTCAACGCATGCTAAAATACAGTCCAGCTTTGTTAAAAATATGAAAGAGACAAAATTATTGATAAAATCTATGATGCTTGGACTCTCCAAAAATGGAGAAGTATCATTGTCAACACGACATGGCACGGATACTAACACGAGATATGTTTCGGATCCTTGGTTTTGCACTCGGACAAGGCAGCAAAAGGGAGAAGACGGCGGACGGTGGACTATTGCTTCTGTTTCTGTATGTGGCAGCAACAAACCCATTTATTTTGACTAAGCATTTGTTTATTTAATCAGTGAGAAATGATTTCTCGTTTAAATTAAAATCTACAATTATATAGATTCATATATTGTGTGAACAATTTGGTACATATTAAAATGAGAAAATGCATTTTTTTTAATTGATGTGATGGAGAATATGTGGTTGAAAAAGAAGGAAAAGTTATTGATGTGATAGAAAATATTATTTTATTAAAGAATGTGTGATCGAAAATGA